ATTTATCAAGATTTYAAAGGGCCATTATTTTGCTATATTTAAAAGTCCTACTAAATGCCAGAAAAGCGCCTCGTAACACAGTTCATGAGACTTAGCAATCCAAAATCTAACTCAGTGTATTCAGTTGTGAATGCTCCAGTAATTTATTCAATAGGGACAATTTTGACATGCACRCAGTATGACGTCATTCACCAGACGATCAAAGTGTGTTTCTATTTTTCTCGGAATATTGTCAAAAATCTAAGATCGAAATGTACGAGACATACTGTTTTTTCGTCGATGCAGTCTCACTTGGAAAAATACCATAGAAGTAGTACTCCCAGTCCCATGCATGCACACGCCCATACAAGTCTGTTTAGTGCAGTCAGATCGTGTTTTTAAAATACATAATGAATGTGTTGGAGCGAATCAGAATATTATGGTAAAATAAGACTTAGCAATTCATGATTGAATGATTCATGATGACTGTAAAATGTTATTGGTTCAGTGCCGTATTCAGATTTGAAAACCAAATTGGCGACTTCATTAATAAATTTTTGAAAAACGTATTAGTTTTGAAAACTTTCGTTATTCATGCAGATTTATTACATTTGTCGGTCGCAAATACGACTATAAAACTGTGACTGTTTCGCTTAAACAGCTTTACAACAGTATATATATGTAATTCACTCATTAATCTTGGACACTTAACACGTATTTTTATACYTACCTTATCCACTTTGTATTTGAAAACTTAACTTTTCCTACTTCCGTCTTGTCTGGTGTGAAGTMAGACAAACTCGCCTTGACTCAGTGACGTCAACGGCACAGGGTGACCAAAAGAAAAGTAATGTTAAAGCACTGGGACAAAATGTATAATAAAGACTTTTGCAATGTCTTTATGCATTAATTTGTCTGTATTTACCGAAATAACAGTTCAGTATGCATTTGTACGAATGTAGCCTCCTTCGCAGGAAACTCTTCTCCGTAGGGTTCCTGTGTTAAGGCAAAAAAAAGGTGCCGGAGGGGGACCTAATCTCTCGACACCAGTTCTTCTCGGTCAAGAATATGAACACAGGAAGACCAAGAAGACAATAATGTCTGTTTCCGATGGAGTAGCCTGCGAAGGAGGCTAGTGCGGATGYAGTCCTTTCTCAGGACTTCCGTTGGCACGGAAACCGCCGTAAACAATTCTTGACTTTTTCTTGTCGAGATTATGTGGTRTCGGGATCAGAGATCAGTGTTTTTTGTTTAAGCTGGGACTAGGCTCGGTATTTTAGGCTAAATCTAATAATTATAAATCAATTACTATACACAGTTATGTTTTTGTGTCGTCATGTCATTTTATTTGTATTAATTGATTACATGGTGCATTCTGTTAAATATTTTTTATGTACATTTAAATCTTATTAATTAAAAACACCAAACCTATCATAAAAATGCCCATCTAAAAAAGTCTATAAAGTCTATCTAAATTTAATTCTAYTAATTGGTCCTAATTATTGTTTTTGTTCTATTCTAGTAGTATAATATTGATTGTAGAAACTCGTACTGATTTTTTTCGTAATTTTTGTATATGTTTTTCGTTTTTTTTTCAGTCACTTCTGAATCGGATTCTGAACCTAAGAAAGGGTRCCCATCAAAAAGCCCCTACTTTTYCTAGTTCTGTTTTACAATGCTAACGTGTGTTAGCTAATTACAGGGTGTTGCCTATGTGAATGTATAAACCTTTTTAAAGGTTTAAAATGTGATAAGTATTATGTCAAAACTATAGGTCACAAATTCAGTTCTATATGACTGTGCGAAGTTTCGTCATTCTTGAATAGCCCACTTTCGATATTCTGGCCTGTTGATTGTTACGAGCAAAGTAACTGAAAATGGGGAAGGCTCTGGGGGGAGGAAAGGGTGCACGTGCAGCTCTAAGAGTAACACTTAGAATCCATCTGTCAGATTTCATTATCACCTACGGTGCAATGCATGGAAGTGTTATTTGTAGACTATCTATCTGAAGACACTGTTTAAAGTGAGTTCATTTCCACTTTTGTACTTCCTCCCCAACAATTTCCTGATTACAGTCCTGAAGCAAAAAGTGATCTATTGTTTTCTCGAAGCCTCGTTTTCA